TTTGTGTCCGTGAAGCTCAGTTTCTATCTTTGCTAGCTCGAATAGTTGTTTTGTCTCATCTTGGTTTGATTCTTTGCTTCCTTACGCTCCTGGTTACCATTGCAATTTAAAAGCTGAGCATGAGTCCTATGAGTGGAAGAATGAATGTTTCTGAAAGCAACACCACCTAGTTCATTCGAGAGTAATCACTGTTTTTTTCTTCTCCAGATAATTCATGCATTGTTGTCGTTATAACTTTCGTGTTTTTTGTGTTAATTTATGTTGTATATAAATATTCTATGACACTTTGAATGGTATTCTCAAGGGACTTGCTACTTGGTGCTGACTATTTTCTGTCTTATTATTACTGTGGTATGTTGTATTCGTTGAACGTCTTGTGTGAGACACTTTGTGAAATTGGTACACCACAACATTTGGTATGGTGAACGATTCCTAGCGGAAGCCTTTTTAGGCCTCGAAATGGCCAACCTGCCTCGTTTTTTTGTGTAGCAACTGATTACGACTTTTAAAACATTGACTGCTCCTCGGTATGCGCTGAGTACGATTTTTCTTTTTACCAGAATCGGTGTCGGAACTTGCTCGCTCCTTTTCATCTGGTGTTTATTTCGGAGTACTTCTACAATGTAGACATTTCCATGATTTTCCAAAGTACTGAAATGGGTTATGCTATGTGACTTATGATCCATCCTAACCATGTTAGGGTTTAACGCTTTGTTCTGTTCTGCTACCCTTTTTTCGTTCAATGTAGGGAGCCTTGGCCTGCTAAGCCTCGATCAAAGTCGATGGCGTTGCCCCTTGCGCGTCATCCCCTTTGGCCGTTGCGGAGTACGAACGCAACCAATGTGGTTTTAATCAGGAGGGGACTGCAATAACAACTTAATTGCAGNCATCCTAACCATGTTAGGGTTTAACGCTTTGTTCTGTTCTGCTAGCCTTTTTTCGTTCAATGTAGGGAGCCTTGGCCTGCTAAGCCTCGATCAAAGTCGACGGTGTTGCCCCTTACGCGTCATCCCTTTTGGCCGTTGCGGAGTACGAACGCAACCAATGTGGTTTTAATCAGGAGGGGACTGCAATAACAACTTAATTGCAGCTAAATGAAACGAACTGTCGCTTGCTCAGATTTACCACCGACACCTACTCATTTCTACATGCTTTTTTTGCAAATGTACTGAGCCTTAGAAGCTTTACAGTTGCTCTCCCCCGCATTATTTCAATGAATGATTAGGCTGCCAGGACCGAGACTAATAAAAAAAGTTTTTATCTTTTCTTTTACATATATTTCTACAACAACGAGGAATATTTCTTGTCAGTTGCCTGATATGTCTTCCTGCTTGTCATGTTTTGTACATGATTGACTGCTCAACATTTTAATCATGAATGGGTTCTCTGAAAATTTTGCAAGCGAAATTTAGCATCCAATTAGGGGTTAGCTGTTGTAATCCGATGTATGCAAAAGAAGAGTTACTGTTATACAGATTGAGCGTCAAGAATTTGATCTCGCGTTTCCTTCGCGTTCTATGTGTACGAAGGAACGATAACTTAGTACGAGCGCTCGGTCCTTACAATAATTTTACGATGTATGTATGTGAAGCTCTCAAATTGTTTGAGAAGCTGACGTTTTTCTTTCAAGTGTAGCATCAACAAGCGTGCCCATAGGTTGCCGTAGGGATTTGCTGTCTCCGAGCCGACGAAATGACGGAGGGGTCAGCCCCACCTCTTGCCACTGAAGTAGCCTTGTAATGAAGCACCAAATCTGAAAGCATGAAGCATCTCCTGATTTCAGGAACTGCTCTATGTGGGCTATGGATCCCCTTCACAGGAGGATTCTCTATCATTGAGGGATCTCTAGCCCTTAGTGACGTATTTACTAAGGGCGACCCTAGATGGAGGGTAAGGTAAGGGAGTGAATTGTCGACCAAAACTCGCCGGTACTCGCCCAAAAACGCAGAGGATGGACTTCCTGTTTATGCTGTGCTGGGTCGATATATCTTCTGTATCTGCCAGGTGTCTCCATGCATACGTGTGTGGAAAGTCTATGGGTGCGTTGGTATCCTACATATCGGCTCAGCCAGGAGTTTGCATTCGAGTGACCGGGAAGCGTGCGGGAGGCGATTCGGGGCTGCCTGTTAAAGCAAAGCTCTTCGTCCACTTTGAGATAGCCTGGCTTGCTAGCCGGACTCAACCCAACCCCACGTCAGAGCCTGGCAAGCTATTCGGGGTACCCATATGCCAAAACAGTAATACGGCTCATTTCCATGAATATGAAGGAGGCCTCAATACGTCAACGTTGGATAGGACCGCCCAGGAAAGGCTGCTAAAATCTTAGAACCAAAACATTGTGCCCAGATGGAGAAGAAGAAGATGGCCATCTGGACTTGCAGTACACGAACGCTTGCGTCAGAAGATTATATCGATGTATCGAAAATTTGATGAAGCAAGATAGAGTGATCAAGCGCGATGTCATCGGACTGGCTGAGATGGAAATGCATCGGCGGCTGCACGCCGTTTTTGAGGCTGAAGAGCACTGGTTCTCCGACCATGCGGCACAAGATGCATCGGCGGCTCAGGTGTACTCGTCGATGCGCAGCTGGCCATGAACGTGAATCGTACGAAAGCTTGACAGCCCGAGTCGCACGTATGCGACTGAGAAGATGTGGCTCAACCCTAGCTCTAACAATTGTTGCTTACGCAGAAACATCAAGCTACGGAGAAGAGGAAGTGGGATGTTGTATATGGACCTGGAAAAGGTCTTCAGTGAGGACCACACTTTCTTCAAAATCATCGTTAGTAATTTTGACGCCACGATTGGTCCTCCGAAAAGCTGCTGAACAACTACATATCGGGACTCACGGAACGGAATCGAACGAGCAGGATGAAAGACTGTTCGATTTTATCATGTCGACCCTCGCTATTCACGGTAATCTGCAGATACACAAGCCCTCATACTTGCGTGGACGCGGGATTTAGCTGCTGAAGGATTGAAATAGGTCACATCATCTTCAATCAAGTGTTTTGCCTGACTGACGTTCGAAGTTCTTCATAGAATCAGGCCATGGTCTCCTCCGCGCTAGATTCTGTTTCCAGTGCGCAGAGCGAGAAAGCTGCGAAGTTCAGGAAACGATTACCAACTGGGACCACCTTCTTCCCTTGTGAGTCTGGGAAGATTCGATTATCGACAACATGAAAAATAAAATCGGCTCTTCGAACATTTTCGCGATGTGCTTGGAGAGCAGATAGTATACATTAGCTAAGGGACGTCTCCCTTCGAAGTCTTTTGAGCTAATACGCCGCTAATATCGCACGAGCTGCGAGTAATGATTAACAAGCGTCCGAACGTGTGAAGCTATGCAGAGAAGTGACAAAGGAAGATCTGGGAGAGATAACTGCAACATTTATGGGCGATGCCGTCAAAGCCGGAAAGACAGTTCGCAAAGTGCGCCGGAGCTTTGCCAATCACGACTTTATGACTTTCCTTCTTCATTTTGACGGTATAGCTATTCCAGTATGAAGGTGTGGAACTCACACGATGCCAAGATTCATAGAAAGTCGTTCATGGTATAGCTATTGCATCTCGAAGTGCAATGGTGATGGTCATCTACTGCTCTTTTCGGTTGTTGAGACTCTGGCACGGCACTCCACGCAGTATCTGTTGGAATGCAAAGTGCCTCACGTCGTGGAAAACTAGCAAGACTGTGTTGCTGTATAAAAAGTGATATTGACAAATATCGCCCGATCTGCCTGCTGCATGTAATCTGCAAGCTTTTCTCACGCTTCGTCCTGAACAGGATTGGTAGAATATTAGGTGTAGGACAGCCATGTCCACTACAATCAATCACATCCACACTGTCTTAAGACCTTGAAGTTCCGCTAGAATACAGGATGCCGTTATGTCTGACGTTTATCGATTTGGAGAAGTCTTTGATATAAAGGAGATAGGAGCGACAATTGAGGCTATGGGCAATAAGGGCGTTCTTACTCAATAATATAAAAATGCTCCGAGGGCTTCCCGGAAACTTCTCGATCAGGATACGGCCATTCTATAGGGGAGTTATTATTGATGTGTGAGAGGGGTTCGTCAGGGTGATACCATTTCACCCAAGCTTTTCAGTGCCGCTCTCGAGAACCAGCATGCTTCATTCGGCATAGGAAGATCGGACGTGACCTTCGACGGACGCTGTAACAGCCTCAAACACCGAATAACGAGTAGGCGTAACGAATGGTGCCGAATTCGTCAGCTTGTAGGAAGGTCGGCTAAGGACTGAAACTACCGAAGAAGATGTTCATGAGAAACGAATTGTTATCTGATGCTCCCTTTATGCCGAATGAAATGAGTGTCTCTGAATGCTATAGCCTCGTATATTTAGGTCGGTATGTCAACGTGATGTCAACTTGTTCAGAGGTGAGCAAAATAAAACGCGCGACGTGGGGATCATATAAGGATATCGAGGGAATGTTGAATTAAACAGGATCCCCCCTTAGACTCTCGGACGCAGGTTGAGCTTGCAGTCAACGTCATTCAAGGCACTTTGGAAGGATTTCCTTATACACGCAAGTGCAAAGAGGAATCCGGAGTTCCAGGCTCCGTCAACAAACGAAGATCAGGGTTGCCGTTGCCTATATCAAGGAAGCGAAGATCAGGTGGGTCGTGCTCATCATGCGATATCGTCTGACCGTTGAACCGGCTGCTGACTGGATCCCTCGGGACGTCAAACGAACATCAGAATGGCCAGCTCAATCTTCAGACTTCTTCGCGAAAGCTTGAACGAAAGAATGCTATGCCTCGTGTGCCTCGAGCTAGGACTTCTCACTGGACTACACCGGCTCGTGACAGAGGCGAGACGTTGCTGGCCCGCGCTTCAGGAGATCGATGGTCAAAGGGACGACAGATAATTCAGGTGTGATATATCTGGAATGGCTCTTAGTGAATTGCAGTACCCGTCATCCAAAAATCAAGATTTGAAAAATCCGATCCGCGTCCGTTCTTTTTTATAGTTAGGTCGTTCAGAACAATGTTTCCGAAGTGAATAGGCAGTCGAACTCAACACATCAAGCTTCACTAAGTGGTATTATAAGAGTTAAGACATTATTCAAGATGCAGTAGCTTGATTTTAAGGGGTACTCCCAAGGTAACTGGGAAAAATCCAATTCAGAAAAAATAGCCTAGAAATCTGTTCAGTAGCCATAAAAATCAGTAGTCGACTTGTCTTGGTGAATTGAGAACTTATCATTAGTCACTAAAATACAGTAGCGCTCAAAAGTCCGGTGAAACGCTTCTTCAGTCGTACTTTTCAGTCGTAACTCTTTTACTAATGGATCGAATCATGCGAAATTCAATATGTGTAGCATGGGTGTGTTGTGAATATTCAGCACTATTGACCTGCAATCTGATCATGTTCCAGATATACTAAAGAGCTTGAACTCAAAATCAACTGAAAATACAGATGACGTTCCTTCTAAAGTCTCTTTCCTTTTTGCAGTGGCTAAAGTGTGCAAGCGCTAATGCCAAACTTAGTAGAGGAGAAAAACGTACATAAGGTGCGAATAACTGCAGACGTCATTAACTGCTTATGATGAAGTCTACTATCGCATCAAACCCTTGCTCTTATTTATGTGGATATTGCTGTTTGCAATCGAAAAGTGCTGGATAGGGTGAAATATGCTTTAGTCAAAAATATACAAATTTCACGCAATTTGGTCTACTAAGAAAAATGCTATGAACGAAAAAGCGTCAAAGCGTTTGACCGAAGACTTTGAGCGCTGCTGTAATTATTCGACTACGATGTGGCTGTTTATTTTCCTTATACAAATGCTACCCATTCAATGAGACCTAGATTATCCATTGCTGGGGAATCTGTTTTGAATATTCTCTCATTTTTCTTCAGTTCTCCTCTTCCAGGGCTTTCCTTCTGCTCCACTCCGGAGCTAGGTGGTTCGCCATATCGAATTCTCATCATAGTTACACGTAGCTGAACCACTTGAATGAATTCGCTTCGTAACTGCAAAGGGAGCATCAGGTACGAATCAGTTTTACATGGGCATCGTCTTCGTTAGGTTCAGACGTGATCAGATCTTCCTACAAGCTTTGTCGATTTCGGCCAGCATTTGTTCCGCAGGCTCTATGTTCGGTGTTATAAGCACGATGTGGCCTGCAAAGCGGAGGTGCTGTAAGGCCGTCGGCCTTCACTTCATGTCTACCCATTCCATATGACGCACGGTATTCTCGAAACCCTGAAAAGTTGGGCAAGACGGTATCGCTCGCCGGGCCCCTCTCCTCACGTTGATCTAGAATGGCGAGATCGTGATCGTGAGGTTGTTGTAGAGCGCGATACATCTTTACATCATCATGCATCTTTGTATTGAGTAGGAACACCTGGTCGCCCTGTGTCGACGGTATGAAATGCCTTTAAATCGACAAACTTCGGACAAAACTGTATCCTGTACTCTCGCGATACTTCAGTTAGTCTCGCGACAGCGTAGATACGATTGATTGTAATAAACCCTCTCTGGAACCCTGCTTGCTCACATGGCTGCCCTTCGTCTGATATTCTACCAATCCTTTTGACTATGACGCAGTGAAAAAATCGTAGACAACTGGCACCGGGCAGATCGGGTGACTGGTGGTCGCCAAAATTGTCGGGATATCCTTTTTTATACAGCAACAAAGTCTTGCTAATTTTCACGACGTAGACACTTTGAGTTCCGGCAGGTACCGCGTGAAGAGCCTAGCCAGAGACTTGAGGACAACTGGTGGAAGACTCTAAACGAGCCCTGGTTTGATCCTATCGGCACCAGGCGTTGAACGATTATTCGTCGACGTGATCGCATGTCGAATTTTGGAAAGAGAATTGATGGGACGTCATATCCGTCTTGCCAAAGGTGGTAGATAGGGAGGTTGACGTGGCTATTGAAAAGGTCCGAGTAGAAATCGTAGATGACATTCTTCATTACCCTTCGAAATGCAGAAACTGTTCTGTCAGGACGATGAATAGAGTTCATCTTGGACTTGTAGTTGGCTGCCTCGGCGGGCATTGCGAGTGCTCGTTCCGGTCTCGGCGGCATTGGCCGTACTGACGCTCTTCTCTCTTTCAGTTTTTTATCAAGACTACATAGTTTCA